TTTGACATCTTGGTGAAAAACTCTACAACAAGAAAAGTACTAGAATCGCTATGCTAAAATTTGTAAATTGCAGTAATTTGAAACATATTGGGTTGTGGTATCGCGATACGTCCGGATGCGAGCGAAAAAAAAATGGTTATATTTATATTAAAAAAAAAAACATTTCAAAGCTTCAAGTTTGATAGTTTTGAGTTCTTTTGACATTTTTTTCCCAGCTGCGATTATCACGCAATACTAGGAAATATCAAAAAAAATTTTTTGTATTTTTGTTTTAGAAATTCGTTTTTTTTTTTAAAATTAAATCAATGCTTACGCCGGATTGCTTGTTTGTTAATATAGTTGAAAAAAAAACGTTTTTTATTTTGATAAATATTACACAATGTCCAGAAACAATATAAAAACTTGTTCAAAAAAGTTACTTTTTTCTCTTTCTTTTAAATCAATGTTTAAAGTAAAGATTTTTTTCTAAAAATCCTAAAAGGTTCTTGTAGGTTTATCCCAGTTTTTGAATTTTTTTTTTGTTTTTAATGTTTTTGATGATCAAAGATAAAAAGGTCTTTTTGCATTAAAAGTCAGATATGTCAACGACAAATTGATGAAAGGAGAATATAAAAAAGCAAATTAAAGCTGAATAAACAAGTTATCTAGCCCATGCATTGATTTAACAAAAAAAATCCCCAATCTGTGGACCAAAAACAATAAAAACAATTATTTTTTTTCTCGGGCTATTTGTTAGGATTGCGTAATAACCTTAGCTCAGAAAAAATTTTTGTGAAAAGATTTCAAAACTAGAAACTTGAAGCTTCGAAATGATTTTTTCCTTAATTTAAATACGTCCAAGATACAGCCCTTCAAAAATCACCAAAAAATTTTGGGAATTTTTTTGTTTATTCAATTTTTTCTAAAGAGTATAAAAAACAATTTAAGAAAATCTATTAACTAAAAAAATAAATTAGTCGACTAATCGAACATAATAACATTTTATCAAACTGTATTTTAAAAAAAAACTGCTCTCCATAAAGCCCAAATTTCAAATTTTATAAATTCTTAAATAACAGTTTTCTTCCAAAATAATGCAATTTGAGTTATTTCCAATCCAATTTTGCTAGAATTGAATACAGAAATTATTCTAAATCAATGTATTTTATAAAAATAATTGCCTAGAATCCAATTTTGGGCCAAAATGAAGGAATTTGTGATATTTCGAATTGATTTGACTCAATTTTAAGCCAGAAAAAACATCAAAATTGACCATTTGTTAACTTGGCGCAAGTGATATTTAAATTGCCTCCCATATTAAAGTTGGCACTACTTAAAAATTAAAACTAAAAATGTAAAACTTTTATTCAAATAAAACTGCAGTTTCATTGCAATTCAAGTCATAATAATTAAAATATTTTTCCTGCCATATTAAAGTTGGCAATAGTAAAAATCTCCACTATTTAAATTTGCTAATTTATGCACTTCCCGCTAAAAACTTTTATACGAAATAATACACATTATTTATACTTTTTTTGGAAACTCATTAATTTTACTTTTTTGACATCTTGGTGAAAAACTCTACAACAAGAAAAGTACTAGAATCGCTATGCTAAAATTTGTAA